ATCCCCGGGCTTCGAGCGATGTAACATGCGCACCCGAACGCTTGCCCATTCCGCTCTGCATGTTATTGTTACTGGCTCTGGTCTACGTAAGTATACCTTGATTCGTTTATCGACGAAAGGCGGACTCAAGACGTCAATCCACCATGGCACGCCATGATGCAAAATTACTGATACAACTTTTCGTCTGAATAGCTCATGTCATTTTCGAGCAAATTCACTATTTATAACAATAACATTGTCCGATTGCTGGAAGAAGAGCGGAACGCGCCGGCCTCAAAGCATGCGGCATGTTGCCCACGATTTTCGTTGATTCTTTTGCCTGCAGTCCGCTATTGACTAGTTAGTCAGATTCGGAACGCTGTAATATTGCGTTTATATACCTGCTGCTGTCTCCTTTGTCCAGGTTATTATTCGTTGTTGTCCATCTCTCCTGACTGGACTCATATAGACGAGCTACGAGTAAATTCTGTATCGCACTACGCTCTACTCGGTTCTTTCCACGTCAGAACATCTTCACGCTACCAGTTGTCAGCACGATTCGCTACCGTCGGACCCTTTTCCCCTACACGTTATTTTTCATTGTTCCATTCTTGTTGGTTTCATCAGTCCACGTTCGTTACTAGCATAGTGATCGTCGTCGTCGTAGCGTGTCATTACAATCAGGCTCAGTTTATTATTATCTCGTATATCTCAATGTATTTTTGGCCACTACCACCACCGCTACCCATATAAATATCAATTATTTCAATGATCTTTAACCGCCTCATCATTGGTTCATAGCAGTATAAATAATAACGTGTTTTTACTAGGTCGTTATAAGTTATTATCAATATTATTAGTTAAATAGTAGAAACACTTGGCCACGTTACTATCTAAATTGAAGTTCTCCATAGCTTTCTTCTACACCATTGTTGTATCATTTCTCACATACGGCTGCTTGTCTTCGTCTTTGTTCCTTCTTATGTTTCGCATTATCTACGACATTTTGCTCCCCGGCATCGATCGTATCCTGTCTAGCGTACGCTCATAATCTATTTCATCTTTCTCTGATAATTGCTTACTTATTTCAATATAATGCTTTTAAAATCTACACATCATTATGTTTCGTGGCGTATTATTATACTGTCCCATTCCAATTTGTCATTCTGGTTATATCCTTCTTACTTATTTGTTATTCCTTATCCTACTTCGTCTTCGTTCTATTGCGCCTACGCAGAGCCACCGTTTGAGCGCAAGACGCTGCTAGCGATTGGGGCGCTCACCCGTTGGGTAAGCGCCTGTTGACGGCCTGTGTTAGGCAGCCCATTAATATATTCTGGACCTGTCACTCCTGTTTTACCTGATTGTGTGTATAGGCGTGGAGCACCCGGCTACACAGCGGGGGCCAGCGAACGCCAGATCCCTTCCTTTACCGTCTTTCTCCAGCACTCGTGACGCACGTATTACATTCATTCCGTCAGTCTGACGCGTATCTCTAGTTGTATGAACGAGTGCTGTATGTATCGTTTCAGTGACGTTGTCGTTTTTGCTTATACCTAATATAGCAACAATCGAACACACGCACGTTAATAACAGAACGGCTTGTCCTATGACTACAACGTTGGTTCACCCGCCTGCGCAGGTTCGAGTCTATTTGCAATCTACCCAATATCCACTCACTGAAACTTCTTTTTTACAAGATTGTGGGCTCGTTTCAGCGTGGCAAAAACAAGTGACCTGATATTCGAAATAACTCGGGAATAGCTACTTTTTGACCAGATACTCGCAATCACTTAGCGTTCTCCTGCATACAATTTCAGCTAACGACTATTTAGATCGTAATCCTCGTATCCGTAAACGCCTTCGACCGTGTGCAACGCGCATAGTAATGGTGCTCGGTTTTCGTTTGTGTTATCTTTTCCTATTGACCTAACATCCTGCTGCCTCTTGTCTCTCAATTCTGTCTCTGCTCGTTTCGGTGCCGATCGTCGTTGCTCGAAAATGAATCAATTGAAACGTATCTATTCCAGGAGCAGATTTATTGATGGAAAAACATTTAAAATGCAGCACGAGATCGAAGTCTTGGCAAAATATCTGCTATGATAACGATCAATTATCATCACGGCAATAAAACCTATGAAGTTCCACTAACTAATTGCAGCACACTTTGTATGCAACTCCCGCCGACCCTGCTTGCGGACCCTAGGACTCGTCGAGGTACGAGGTATTTAGATATACCAGAAAATTCTTCTAGTTCTTACTGATATAGCCCGGCGACGTGTTGGCTAATGTCAATGTACCGAAAATAGCTAGGAAGAATAAGGTGTTTCATTGACAAGTCGTAACAGGTGCAACCCCCCTGCTGAGTGTGTCGTTTAGAATCATAGTTTATTCATCGCATATACGAACAATTTACCATTGATGGTGCTTGTTTCGATACATTTGTGTACTGCTTAATCTCAGAAGTAATACATGTAGTGATATAAACTTAGTCTCTATATCGGTATCATGTCATGCACTCATATGCCAAGCACATGCAGTGTCCCTAAATTGATCATAATACCAGATATTTGACCAACAACGCTTCTAGATTCAACGGGGTCTTTTAGGCAAGATCCCAGTTTCGTTGGCTACATTCGTACGGGACACTGTAGCTACACGTTCGAAAATCAAGGCTACGAAAGTTTAGTTCTGTTACTTACTAAAAGGTACTTATGTAAATGTCGGTCTGTCATATAGCCTTGTCGTTCACCATACGTCTAACAAATGTTTGTTTTAATATTCAGCGGTCTAGTTGTGGACCGCCAATTACCATACAGTCATAAACAAACTCATAAACGGACCTTTTCGATATGGTTCTTGTATTAATAGTTACAAAATTGGTGATCGACTTGTTTTGCACCAGTCACTCGTGATACGATTGGTCATCGTTGATAGTAAATTTACGTGGCCTTTCGGACCTGCAACCTGGGACCACAGCCTTTTACGAACCCTAGTCACCTTCAACAGACGTTTCAACCCATTGCAAGCTGTCAACAGCCTTAACCTAATCAATAGCTTAATTTATAAGGAATCCATGTAAAGGTTGAGATTAATGTGAAATTGTTTTAAAGAAGAAGTTAATTCCTAAAAGACAGGCCATACTTAAAGTAAATGAATGTTCATTAAACGAGTAGATAAATCGCTTGAGAGCGTCCGCAAAAGTGGGTCCGAGCAGAATTTGTCTAAAATGACCGTCTAAAGAAGGTACCGGCCAGGCGGCACTTCGACCTACGTTACGCATGGTACAAAAACTAAATTACCCACGATACCTTTATATCTTGTCGCATGTCTAATTAGTTCTTTATCATCACCATTGTATAGTTTTAACACTGCACAAATAATATTTGTCTTGGCAATAATGGTAGTTAATCTTTAATATAATAATAAATGATATTGCCATTTTCATGAAGACGTCTATATGGCAAAGTTTGCCTGGCTGCACAGATCAGGCAAAACACGCACCCTGATGCCTACGTGTATGTGATAATAGGGGTTGCTACAGTATATACGTATATATATATATATATATATATATATATATATATATATATGTACCTTTTCCTATAATGACACTGTCAATGAATAATTAATGTTAATTATTATATATCAGCTACACTATGTAGTAATACTACGCAAGACTGTGCAGATAATTTTATTAGTAACATCCTTATATTCTGGTTGGTAAATTCCTAATTGCTTTTGTATGTTATCTTTTAGGAGTATAGGATATTCTTTTTTCACCATCCTATTTAACTTTCGGAAGTTAAGCCACACTATAATTCTTCCAATATCGTTTTTGAAGAACTTGTAGTGAATCTAAAAGGTGCTCTTCAAGAGCCCATCTTTTTCAAAATACGATTTTTGTCGATCTTTTTTTTTTACAAGATCAGTTATTTTTCCCACGAATATTGTTAGGAGTGGTAAAAGCTACATCCAAATGCAAACCAGCTGCAATTTGAATTGAGAGAAACTTAAATTACAAGTAATATAATCTTGACGTGTCTTAAATACGCAGCTGCAGTAATCGGAGCTCTTATGGCCTTCACTGGCCTGATGCCGATAGTAGATCACGATACATTAGAGGCTCTGTTTGTGATGGGAACGGGTCTATTGTTCGAAACCGGTAATATTTTCCATCACTGACCTCTGATACATATAGGCATCTAATACAGATTCCGACCGAAATCTGTATTAGATGCCTATATGGTTTAATGGGAGCAGCCAAGGAACGATAAAACTATTGCTCGTGCTTGTTGTATCTAATGCCCTTACTCTTCGTCGTGCAAAGTTGCAGCCATACGTTGTCCGGCTTTTTGATAAGGCTCCATGTTTTCCCCTTTGCTTCTCTACTATTATTTCTACAAAAAATGTCGCGTCGTGTCACTGCCTGCATCATTTACTGCAATCTGGTTAGCTCTAGTGAGCAGAAACATTCGAGAACGTATGCATCGTCCGCATAATACCTGAGTACGCCTGTTCCATTAAGATTGCACACTGATTCAGCAATTTTTTCGTATACTCATCGGTAAGGCTTATAAACTTCAGTATGTTGTTCCGATTTTTATCTTTTATCGGGAGAGACAAAACCGCTAGTTATGTAGGAAAGTGTACAAAATCAATTAATGTCAAATATTCATCCAATTAAGACAATTCTATCATATTCTTGTTGCAAATGATAATACTAAAAACATTTTTGTCCTCTTGCATGCCCGAAACTTTCAATATCTTTTCCGAAGATACTTGAATTCACTTTCAAATATCATCAATACGTGGCCGTACTGTGTATGTTTGTCATTTCTAGTATTTTTTTTCTGTTTATATTTTTTTGGATATACACGCCTGTACGAGATGTAACTTTTTCAATTTTTT